AACCAGCTCGCCTCCCTAACCCTACCTAATCAACTCGCCTCCCGTCCCTTCCGCCTGACGTTAATTCCGTCCACGCTTCACAGTTCCAGGGTCCAGACGACGAAGATGCCTTTGATGGCGACGAAGGGTCCGAAGCTGGCGACGGGGGGTGGGCAAGGAGCGGGCGTTCTGGCGGCGCTGCAGGCGGAGGTCGGGGAGGCGGGGGGGGGGGGGACGAGGAACAAAACCTTGGTCCGCTAGACCGGGCGAGGCTCGAACAAGCGTGAGTTCATTGTTATTGTTGTTGTTGTTGTGGTGGTGGTGGTCGTGGTGTTATTTTTGGCGACAGGGGCCCCTGTCTTGACCTGGGGACGCCTTCCGGCCTGCATCATCATCTATGTATGTATCTATCGCGGGGTGGGCGCTCCTATCCACCCAAACGTCTTCAAAGATATCCACATCTGATATCCACTACTCAAAACAGACGCCCGCCCTACTCCATCCACCCACCTGTGCCCGGCCACAATCTTTGCGCTAAAGCCTTGTATCTCCCAACAAAAATCCGCTCCCGCCACCATCCATCCGCCAACAGAAGGCGCAAGTCACGAGAAGAGTCAGTGGCCCCGCCCCGGCGACCGCCGCCGCCGGCCGCCGGGGGCCCCGGGGGTCGGTACGACGGGGGGGAGGACGAGGACGGGGACGGCGTTGACGGTTTCACGCCTGGAAACCCCGTGGGCGTCGACGACAGCGACGATGGCGGCGGTGCCGCGGACGAAGCGGAGATCGTAGACTCCGACGACAACAACGGCGGCAGCGCGGGTGGCGTTGCCAAGGGCAGGAAGCGGCGGATGCAGGAGCAGGAGCAGGAGGAGGAGGAGGAGGAGGAAGTTGCGCCCCCCCTCGCGCCAAGGAACCCATTCGCCCGCGGCGGGAAGACTTTCGCGTCTCCCCCTAGGAAGAAGCGCAAGGTACGTATGTTAGTATCGTGGTTGTTCGTCCGAGTTTTGATGCTACACCCACCCACCTGTCGTGTGTGGCGTACATGCTTTTTGTGCATTTTCCCATCGTTTGATGGTCCGAGCTTTTACGCTACACCCCACCTGTAGCGGTGCCGTGGTGTATGGTGGTGGTGCTTATTGTACATGTTTTTTTGCATTTTCCCATCTCGTGAGTACTTCCGAGTTTGGCGAAAGATGGGTAATTATACACGTCGTAATCCAACCTAGGTTGTGTACTACACCCACCTACAGTAGTAAACAGGTTGACGTTGTGTGCAGGACATGACTATGAGCATGTTGTGTGCCCCGGCGGTGGCTCGGTCCGGGCCGAGAAGTTTCGTGGTAGGCCAACCGCAGACCAGCCAGAAAAAAATGCAGATACACCATGTACATCTCTCCGCAACTGCAGGCCTCTCGTCACTCAGCCACTTTTCCCGATGAACCTGGCTGGCCCCGTTGGCCACTCCTTTCCCGTGTCTGGTTTCCGCGATCCCCTGCACGCACTACAGTACTGGTTCTCACCCCCTGTATCCATTCTGCATGTAGTGCCCTGATACCCGAACATAGCATCAATGCTTGATGTGCGGCAGGGCGTTCTTGAAGCGACCTGCTAGACTCGACCGCCACCGTATGCATACCTCTGCGCGCAGTTTTCCGACACCAGTTTTGCAGCGTCGGGACGAAACAAACCGGTGCTGTGCGCCTGAGGAAACGATAATCTATCTATCCCCTCTCCTATCCCCGCCGCATGGCGCTCCGGGAATCGACGCCATGCGCACAATGTCCGCACCGTTTGTTGTGCGGTCCCCCTCCCCCCTCCCACTTTGGCATAGAAGTACTGTAAGAAGGAACGATTGTCCATCGATCATCTTCGGTTCCTGTGCGAACAATGCTCGATCCTCTCAGGGCACGTAAAATCAAGGTCCGGCAACTACGTAAGGCATGCAAAAATGACCCTCCTTTTCGTTCCCTCGACTTTGCCTGCGCATCTGCGATAGGGATCTCAACAAAAAGTTTTTCTCGGCCTAATTTCTGTTGCGGCTCGCAATTTGTTCATATTTGTGAAAGGTACCCTGGGCCGGCGAAAACCCGGCGTATCGCTCCTCCACAGGGATGCGAGGTCAGTGGTCCAACGGCTACGGCATTCGTTACATAAGCCCCCCCCCCCAACGCACGCCCCCAACGCACGCCCCCCCCCCCCCCCCCGGCGGCAGGACGTGTTGGAGACGATGAACGACCTCCGGGGGTCCCCGTCCCCCGTGTCCTCGAAGCGGCCCCCGCTAAGCCGGCTGTCGTCCTTCTCGGCGGAGGCTCGCACCAAGAACAGGAACGACCGGAACGTTCTGTGAATATCTCAGGAACGTTGTGAGGAGCGTTCTCTGTGACGACAAGGAACCTACGGTGACCAGCGGAGGACTCCTTTGGTCCCGGTCACGCACAGCATACTATCTCTATGTACACATTTATTTTTATGCGGCTTGGTGTATGGAAAACTATCGTGCCACGTTTTACTGGTCAGCTTGTCGCTTCCCGCACTCGGCGCGTGCGTGTAGTGTTGCCGTCGGCATGATGCGTTCGAGTTTTTCCGCACACATGTGGCTTCGTTCAGTAGATTCGGGCCTGCGGGCCCACTTTTACGCACCCATCTCGAAGACGGCGGCGGTGGTGGTAGCGGTGTGGCGTGGTTATCTTTGGGCCTACCCGGATTCGATGCATGGTCGTGGTTAACAGTTAGACATGGAGCTTGAAAGGCGACTATGGGTAGTAGGTACGGTAGGTGGGCCTAAGGCTCGAAATGAGGATAGTCTCAGCCCCTGACGTCTCGTCGTAGCGCCCATTTCTTTGACGGGTATTTGGGATAGGGTGGGAAGGGGACATAGGATTGTTTGGGTTAGACAACTAACTACCAGTTTTCGAAGGGATTGGGTTATGAATTTGATGAGAGACGTCAGGCTTTTTGATTCGTCATCTTCGGCTTTCCACACGAAATATGGTGCATGCGCATGAGGGGGGCACTTCTGTGAGTGGTGTGGTGGTGGCGATATGAGGGTGTTTGCGGACGGGTCGTTTGTTTTGGCCTTGTAGAAGTCGGGAGGGAAGTTCGAATCAACATCTGCGGATTTGATCTCAAAACTTCCAGCATGAAGCCCACGGGGCAAATTGAAATTTTTCTGCTGTCTTGCGGGGGCAATTCGTGTAAGTTAACCTCAAGATCCTTCCAACTTCGGCCCTCGGTGTGACCAATGTACCGAAGGATCAAACCAATATTTCATCTTCTCAAACTCCCTATGTGCCACAGACACAACTGAGAGGCTTGGCTACGTGCTGTACCCAACTGGACGAGAAAACGTCCGGAAGTTTCGGATTTACGAAACACTCCCATGCTACAGGCCGGTGGCCGGGTGGCTAGTTGGTGTCCTCCAAAACCTTCTCGAGTGGTCAGGGTCAGGGGTTCGAATCCCGGCGCAAGCGCGAGCTAGCAAAGTGAGTTGTTTTCTCGCTTCCGTTCCTGGCCTTGGTGGAAAGCGCTGGTTCGTGTGTACACAGAGGCAAGAGAGTGCTGCACTCTATCGCATTAACAATCGAAGGCAAAGCACGCAGGAGGGGCCTCAGGAAGAGGAACCCTTATGTGTGACCACGGGTTGGAGTAACGGACAACAGGTGCTGTGAGCGCTGCTGATTTTGTAAGTAATATAAAGAAAAAAAAAATGCATGCTAATAATAATGTTCTGAAACTTCAGCTGTTCCGACTGAAACATACGGCAACTATGAATACTTTGGATCTTCTGATGGCTCTATGTACAGCATTTTTGTGACCACGGACCGCGTCTTTGCTATTATATAGATTGTGGGATTAGTAACTGACACGAGTTTAAACGCCCGTCGTGTTTTCTCCGTCTTCAAGTATGTACGGGCCAGTTTCATACCGAATCGCATTGTGCGGTGCGCCAGTTTCATATCGAACGGCACTGCGCCGATGACAATGGGATGGTTGACATATAAACTAGCCGGAAATATCGCGGAAGGACCAAAATGAAAGAATGACGTCGTGTCCATTTCTTCCTGAGAAGTTTTGAGGAGAAACAATCGAAGGTGGTTCTTCTTCTCCTATGAAAGTCGTCCAAGCTTTTTTCGCTGCTGCTGCTTCTCCACTTCTACACATGTACCCTATCGGCGACAGAGGTGGCACCACGACCGGATCGACAGGGGTGAACGACGAAACCAATCAAACAGGTGGAGAGAGTAGTGGCCGGGTGCGGCGCGTCCAGTCCAAAGTGCCCCAAGTTTTGGCAAGTAGTTGCCTTCCTTGCCATGGTTGAAAAAATGATAGCCGTCATCTCCTACAGTAGCCAGAACGGGCACAAAGCCACACAGGTGTTGGACACCAGCGATCAGCGCAGAGGTATGTAGCTCTGGGACCGCGCGGGAGCTGCAGAGCCGCCTGACGAGACGCGCCGCAGGGGTTTGATGTCTAACGCGAAAACCAACTGAGCCTTCTTGGGATCTTTGAAAGGCAACGCTGAATCTCCTCTCCTCTACTTGTACAAAAAATGAGAGATGCGGCCGGGTACTACTGCTGTACTACAGGTTGTTCTGCTGCAACATACTAAATCGCTGTGAACCCTTCATGGACAATACTACAGCAGTCTTGCTCCGCCAGTGCCTCATGATGCTGTTGTTGCTATGTTCCTCGCACAATAGTCATGGCTTCTCCCCTCTGTCAAGCGTATTCTGTAGCTCTGCGTAAATCTACTGTACACACATCACCTCCTCCGTTGTGTTGTTTTGTTGTCGTTTCTCACATTTGGTTAGCTCTTTATTAGTCTTGTCCACAAAATTGTGTTGTGAGTTGTCTGGTCAAAGATTCACATTGTCTCTTTTGAACACCGAGCGAGGTCGATTTGATTTGTAGAATATCGCCAGGATACCTGCATGGTTGGGACAGCAATAATGACCACGGGAATCGACCGCGTCAAGTGTTGGATCAGTACGGACATATGAAGGTACTGGGTAGAGAGAGATCGGAACGGTTTTTAATGTGAAGACAATAACAACAACAACAGCAATAATGTGGGTCTGCACTCCGGCAGCTTGTTACAGCCATCTCATTTTGGTCGAGCCTCAGGCGTACCACACTGCTGCTGCCCTGTTCGGCCCCCATCGTCCCCACATACGCAGCAGCCAAACACCTGTAGTTTCGCCACAACACCCAGAGTTATTTCGAGGGATCGCTCGCTGTGGCTACATACAGCTGTGGCAACCCCGGCCACGCACGGCGGTCGGTGATCCGCAGGAGAGCAACACTGCTTGATGCTATGCGGTTTGCGAGTCGGGCATTAGCCGAGACAGCCGTTGTGGTGAGGGTGGCGGACAACATCGGTGCAATTGGATTCGCCGCCGTCGTCGACTTCATCGTGGCCCTCCTCCTGATTCACATCGTCCTCTTTCGGCGATGGCCTCCCTACAAGGCCGTTCACCCTGGGCTCATCGTGTACACAGGTTTAGCTGTGAGTGGATCCCGCATCAATCCTGTGGCAGTACATTCGGAATGTTTCACCGCGCGCATTGCTGCTGCTGCTGCTGCTGCTGCTGCTGCTGCTGCTGCTGCTCTGCTGCTGTACAGCAGTTCAAGAAGCCACGTGTTTTGCTGTTACTTGCGACGCTTCTCGCTCATAGTTGCACAAAAAATGGGACCGACCGCAAGAAGACATTGGGGGAAAGAAGAGTAAAGAGAGAGACAAAACAAGCAGCACATCAGTTAGCTACAAAGGACGCTATCATAGTTCCAAAGCCGGCCGTGTGGCTACCTCGGCCGAAAATGTGCAGGAGAGAAGACCCCATCCCAAGAAGGACCCTTTCACCTATAATAGTCTAACCGTCCTCCAGAAAAGTTCCATGTATAGTAGGTTGCGGGGTGGTGGAAACGCATCACGCCCATCCCGCCCATCCCGCCCCTCCGCCTTTCCCTCGTGTTGACCAGACGATGTTGACAACGGTTTGGGTCAGCATACGATACGGCATGTGGGGAGACGTGGTGAGCTGCACGGCGGGTTGCCTCGCAAGGGTTAGCCTGGGGGCGCTGTTCTCCTGCGGTGTCGTCAGGGTGTACCGGTACCACAACGTCTTGGTCAGCCACAGCGGCGTCATGTTGCCAGTCACGGTGCAGGTAAGGATACATAGACTACGTATGTACGTACCTATCCATTCACGCCATCATGCGAAAAAAATATCGAGAATCGCGCACTCGCTCGGTTACTTGAACATGCACAGAATGTTCTTGTTTAGCCCTCTGCGTCAATATATACTTGAAGTATTGCATTGCAATACGAACACCTTACATATACATAGGTTAGATCAGGAAATGCTTCCCATTACCTGCCATACGGGAGAGCAGGGAAGATT